TGAAGCTGTTTTCTCAACCAGTCTTCCTTTGGTTTGTTTTAGTTTATCTGTGGAGGCATGCGAGTGGCCGAGCAGATCTGGAGGTGCAGGGTTCAAGCCTGCCCATTGCATTGTTTTCCTAAACAATGAACTTTACTTCACTTTTTTTAATGGGTACTGGTGACGTACTGCTGGGGGTAACCCTGCGATAGACTAGCATCCCATCCAGGGAGGAGTAGCAATACTCTGAGGCATGCTTCATGCTAAGGAAACCGATCAAGATAAACTCTGGCCATTTGGGTCTTTGGCATGTGTGCACCTTTACCTTTCCCCATTTTAGTTCTCAAACCTTCTTACCTTTGGTTTCTTAGCTTTGGCACTTGCCGCAAGTAACATTTTATTGATTGACTTTGGCTTTGCTACTGGTTTCTTTACATTCTGCAATTTAGAAACAAAAAATGCATCACTGTGTTATTAATAAATATAATCAGTTCAAAGCATATAGAAATTTGAAACAACAAGCCTGTCCAACAAAAGTACTTACTGGTTTCTTAGGCTTGAATTTAGGAACATTTTTCCCTGAAACAGTGAATTAAGATTTTTATTGAGTACAGATTTTTCTGTTTCCTAGCAGCCTATGTAAAACCATGACCCATTTTTTCACCAAATACAGCTAATAAATTCACTAACCATTTGAAGGCTCTTCATCAAGATCATCATCAAAAATCTCTCTTCCATCATCCACATAGCCAGTCCCATCTAAAATTTAAGATTTGTTAGCATACAATTTACAGTGGTGGCCTGGCCAATGGGTAGAGTAGGAGCTGCTTCTAAGGTCTCTCTAATTGGTCACCGGAAACAATAACATTTCATTCTTCCAATCGTTTTAGTATTGTTTGGGGTCAGGGAAACGCACCATGGCTTCTCTCCTGAGCAGCTGCTACATGATCCTGGCCAATTGTGAAAGCAATACCAGAGACTAATTTTCACTAAGTTTAAGATCACGTGTTACTGGCCACCACAATGCAGTCTGACTGCTTATTAGACGTGTTTAGCCATAAGAAGTGCCTAGTGAGAAGGTTCTGACAGTATCACAGTGTAGGCATGGCTGATCCTAGTTGGAGCAGTAACAGCACCACTCCCCCCTAAAGAAACTACCAAATAAAGAGATACCACTTGGGGTAAAACCGCAGTGGACTGCAGGCTCACAGGTTATTGCTTGCCAACATTAACTTTTATTTTATGCTAAAACATCATTTTCACATGTGGCATTATTGTTCTATTTATTGAACAAATTCTCTTAAAATCTGTCTTCACTGGGTATTTGTACTCTCAGATTCTTGTTATCATTAAATTAAGAATTATAGTGGAGTTCCACACATGGGTGACTGTAGTCTTTTACAGTAAGTGAAAAGACATGGTAATCTATACCTTTGAGACATTTTGGTAGTCAAATGACCCTATATCTGCCCCTCCAACCATTTGTCTACACCACACAGCAACTAATGTGAAACATCACAATTTCTAGCTAGTGTAGGAGCCCACAACCCGTGTTTAACTTGATATCTTGATAAAAATAGTTTACACTGTAGTAAAGGTAAAATGATAGGAGTGCACTTTTGCTGTTAATGCTTGTGACTGAAGTTTACGCACAAAACTTCTCACCATCATCAATGACCCAGTCCTCTTCCTGTCGCTTACGGACAATGTCCGAGTATTCATCTTCATTTACCACCTGATAAACATCAGCCACTTCACCAACCTTGAATAAAAGAACGAAAGCATGGTCTATAGCTACATGCACACATCAATTTATTATATAAACATCAATGAAATACCAGGTGAGCTTTCGGGCGATAACATGATATCTTCACATGTGAAAAAAACATACCGTAAAATTCCGAAAATAAGCTCCGGGGCTTACATTTTTCAAAGGCCCTTTTTGAGGGGCTTATTTTTGGGGGGGCTTGTATTCGGAAGGGCTTATTTACGGAGGGAAATTTGTGTTTCTAAATTGATTGGGCTAGCCTTATAGTTGGAAGTAAATTTACCGTTTTTGCTTTGCTTTACTTTGTATTTGAGGGTAATTTTCCAAGGGGCTCATATTTGGAGGGGCAATCTAACAGAGGATTTTTTAGGTTACCCATTTGGGGGGCTTATATTTGGAGGGGCTTATACATGGAGGGGCTTATTTTTTGAAATTTACACTATTGTACATGTTAATCTCACACGTGAAAAGATCACTGCAACTATGGCTACATGATAAATCGCGCCTTTCAAAGCAAAAAACTATTAAAGTGAAATGGTTTGGTATTTCATTGATGTTTATTTAATAACTAGAACATTGCATGGCCACTTGGAGATACAAAATCTCTTTTCTCATTTTGAAAAGTATTTCACTCATTCACTACGCTTTTCAACACTTGAAGAGAACTTTTGTATCTCCACCCAGCCATGTAATATCCTCTATTTATTAAATCTGTCTAGGCATTTTATAACTCATTGGTACTACCTGGAGTTGTATCCAGAAAAGAAGAAATGTTTTACAAATATATCGAAACTTAAATGGATAATATTATTTTTGTAAACTTTAAGCCAGCATTTCATAAAGTTTTAATCCCAGTGAGGTTTATTGGTATTTATTTTTAATACTAATTATTTAATACTTGGCTTCTGAGAATCCAGCAACTTTTTTAAGAATGAAGCTTAATTAATACTTAAGCAACTGTAGTATTGTAATAACAATTTTTCCTTTCTCTTTTAGTTATATTATTACAGTCATCGTGAAGATCCTTGAACCTTATCATAGAGTTTTAAATAAGAGATTTTCAAGGCCGTTTAAAGACATTTCATTTAAACTTATTAATTAAGGACGAAATATGGCGCTTCGATCTGTGTTTGGAACTGCAGATCAGTAGTCTTTTTACCTCAAACTTTGCTCGCTCGCCTGTCTCACGAAATTTCCTAGAACATGAATAAATTGGTCGTTAGATTCCTAAGCGATCAGCAAAAAAATAATAATAATAAACATGTATATCTAAAAGAAGTTTACTTCAAACCTGATTTTATCGAGGGCAGAAGTAGCTCCAGCATTACGTTTCACAGATCGCTTCGATCGCCTTGTGGACTGAGAATCTACAAAAGGCAGAAGGCACTGGGCTCAGAAATGTTCTTCTTTGTAAAAAATAGCCTTTTAAAAAATAAATAAAAAGCATACCGTCTTGAGAAGTTGTCGCTCCGTCTTCAGTAGATGTAGGCGCCATTTTGAAATGGATTGTTGAAAAATGGCGCGAAAATCCGCCAAACTTTGCTCCAAGAGATAACCTTGTTCAGCGGTCAGCAATGGGAGGAGGTTGTTACGTTGTGTATACGACATTAAAGTGACTCGATGCAAACACTGTTGTCGTGTGGCGAAAGCGAAAATCTTTAGCGACTGAAGGTCAATTAACCATTTCATTTTGTGGGTGAGTAAATTCGATTTTTTTGTGTCTCATTTTCGTATTTTAATGTTCAGGAAACAAGGATGTTCAAAAATCGCGTGATCGTCACGTTTCCGTACAGGGTGTCTGAAGATATTTTTAACATCCAATCACATCATAATCACATGCAGCAGCAAGCAACTTAACTCCGCAGATAGCTCTTTTTTTTCTCGCCATACCATTGATCATACGACCTTTTCCTTTGGATGGATTAGCTTAAATAGCCAAAACGTAGGCGAGAAATTCAGTTCTAGCTGCAGCTGCTTGTTTTGCGGTGGTCTGACCTATCTTGCTGAATTCTAAATTAAGTTAAGTGTGCTTTCTCCACCCACATACCCACAGTACAGTTCATCAAGGCTGGCAAGAGGACTTTTTACTCCTATTTGAATAATCAGTAAGTACACTGTACAAGTCACCCACATGACTGGCAAATGCACCCCCTGTGTTAAAGAAAATTATTATTTATAATTAATTAGCCTGCAAGCAAGCCCTCCAGGGCATTCTGGCAGTGGGGTGAAAAGGAGGAAACGCTTGCACAATGCTACCCTGGGTACCAGAGGTTTTTCTTGCGTGCGGTGGGAATTTTCGGTGTCGGCCAAAGGCTGACACATCTTTCGCCATAGGCCAAAGCCACAAGCAGCGAAGCCAGGTCAGTATGAAGACTTGACAGAAACCGGAAACCCCGCAAGAAAAGTCTCTGGCAACCAGGATACCACAATGCAGTCACATCTCAGGAATTTGAATTCTGCTTTCAGTGCCTCCTGTCCGGGGGGGGGGGGGGGTTGAATTTCTGGGTGGGGATGTGCCGCTGGGACCCTGGAACCCTTAACCTATACCAGAGCTAGTTCAGCTGAATTTTGCTACCCTATACTAGAGTAAACTCCCCAAATCTCCCTATCCTAGAGCAGCTGTTTTCCAGAAACTACTGAGGTCACTAGCACAGTAGTGTAGCCAAAACCTTATACCACAATCGCTAGTCTAGATAAAATCTTCAACCAACTGATCAGTTTTCTGAAAAATGATACCCTATTCTAGACCCAAACGCTCTGATTTATATATCCTAACCTAGAGTAAACTGCTTGAAAACCATACCCTTTACAGCGGCACATACCTATATAGCCCATATATGGCAGTCACCCCCCCCCCCCGGGGCCTCCTGTTGCTATTCATCAACTTAGCTGTAAGATTCTTGTAAGCAATCAACTCCTGCTTACAATAGGTTTAACTGTATTGTTTTCTTACCCAAACACCAAGAACAATACCCTGCGAGCAGAGTCTCCTTCAATCTTCCTAGATAAGTCGGGAAGACTAGAAAAGTTGGGAAGTTGGATAAGTCTTCCTGACTTAACTAGGAAGATCGAAGGAGACTCTGCTCACAGGGTACGAGAACAATAAAGGTTATCTATTACTCTGTTGCTTAGGTAAGACAATATTAACTTCATGTGAATAAAGGTTACATTATTTTAGTTTTGCATTAACATCCATCAAGTGGGTGTCCTGTGGCATGTATGTGATGTGCGGCTATTTTTATTTCGCAGGAAGATGAATAATTCTCCAGAATATGATGTTGCTGTCATTGGTGCAGGCATTTCAGGGATTGTTACTGCAAAATGCTTGTTAGACGACAAGTTCAATATTATTGTTTATGAGAAGACTGATCATGTTGGAGGGTTGTGGCAGTTCACAGAGGATGGCTATGGAGTCATGAGATTCACTCACATGTAAGAACTCTGAAATAAAGTGTTACAGTGGAACCCCGTTAATACGGTCACTTCTGGGCCAAAAAAATTTGGCCATGTTAACAGGGTGGCCATATTACTGGCGCTGGCTCAAATTTAATGACCTGAGGGCCGCATTGACAAATACACCATACGTCACACTCAACTTACTGTTCTCATTAATAAACAACCGGAATGTAGATATTGCGTACAGTAATTGAAAAAAACCTTAAAATTTTCCTTCAGTACATGAAACTCTTTAAAAATTTGGCTATAAATCGCCACAAGTGCATTTTAAGTGTACTCTTGTCTAAAAACAGTTCAAGAATGAGGTAAGATTACTAGGTTGATAAAACTGACATGTCGCAGGTTTTCTAAATTTCGAACAAGTGGCCGCATTAATGGGGTGAAATTGTAAGAGATTCTACTGTTTAGGATTTTAAAATGTGACTGTTGGCTGTATTAACAGGGGACCGCAACGGTTTTTTTTTTTGTAAGGAAATGTATGGCCATTTTGCCAGGCCGAAAAAAACTGGCTGTAATATCAAGGTGACCGTATTATCGAGGTAGCCGTAAGGCGGGGTTCCACTGTACTTCTGATTTAAACTAACTATAACTTCTAATAATATTCAAAAAGTGGAAGTTCCAGAGGCATAGGGGCCCCCGGGGGGTGGGGGGGTGGGTGGTGGTAACTTGGGTAAATTTTTGCCCCTACCCCATTATAGTCTATTCTGTGGCCAAGTATAGACCCCATCTTAGTCACCTTTGGGCAAATATGTAATTTTCATGATCCCAACTTAGTCACTTGCTATTTTTATGAATTGACCCGTTTTTTAGATTGAATGAATAACACTTTACTTTTCATCTTCAGTACAAACATTGTGACATGTTTGCTAACCATTAATATGAAGAACTGTCTTACCCCAAAATATCCAAAAATGTGTGACCCCATTCTAGTAACTCTATAGGCCATTTGCCCAATGGTGTCATTTAACTACTACGACCAGAGTTCTTTTCGTTTTTCTTTTCATATTGAAATTTGGTAATGCCAGCGAGCTTTAAAAAACAAAAGCCCTAATTTGCACAAGAAAGCAAAACCTTGAAGTGTTCTGGTCATAGGAGTGAAATGACACCAACATGCAAATGGCCTATTGAAAAAGCGGCTCCATTATAGTCAATCCAGTCCTGAAAATGCGACCCCATCCAGCGATACATCCCCACTAGCCATATAAGGAAGTACACCCCCCAGGCTGTATTGTTGGGTGACTGCTGACTAGCAATGTCATGATTTTTTACCTTGTCTTGTTATTCCTTTGCCAGCAATGTCTCCAAGCACAACTACTGCTTCTCCGACTTTCCATTCCCTGATCATGTTCCTGATTACCCAAGCCACACACAAATGGCAGAATACATCAAAAGTTACACCAAGCAATTTGGTTTGGAGAAGCACATCTGCTTTAACACCAAGGTGGTCAAAATTGAAAAAGCAACAGGAGGATGGAAAATCGTTACAGTCCAAGTCGACAACCAAGGAAAGTATCAGTCTGAATACAAGGAGACATTTGTCAAGTTTGTTGCTATAGCAACAGGACATCATGCGAAACCAAGCATGCCACACTTTGAAGGCCAGGAAACATTTAATGGAAGAATGTTTCACAGCATGGATTATAAAGATGCCATAACTAATGATTTAGTAGGAAAGAAAGTAGTTGTAGTAGGAATCGGTAATAGCGCTGTAGATGTAGCTGTGAATGTAACAGAGTTAGGAGGGGAAAAGCCCATTAACATTTCCACGAGATCGGGTGCATGGATTGTTCCTAATTACATACTCGGGTACCCTGCTGATCATTATGCGACCCGCCTGTTCTTCTGGCTTCCTTGGAGCATTTCCAATTTTATCTTTGAGCTAATGATCCAATGTGTGACCGGCAGCCAATGGCGGTGGAACCTGAATCCAAAAATGCATGCTCGCCAAACACAACCCACAGTCAGCCCAACATTGATTCATCATCTCCAGAGGAGAAACATTGTTGTTAGGCCTAACATTGCGGCATTTAAGAAAGATAAAGTGATCTTTACTGATGGATCTGAAACTGTTGCAGATGCAGTGGTTTGTTGTACTGGTTACCACATAGATTTACCATTTTTAGAGAGTGATATAAAAGATTTAGTTATTGACGAAAGCACCAATCAAATCAAACTCTTCAAAAATGTTTTTGCTCCGGAAATTGGCCATTCTTTAGCGTTCATAGGATTTGTCCAGCCAGCATCTGGTGGTTTGCTATCAGTNGTGGAACCTGAATCCAAAAATGCATGCTCGCCAAACACAACCCACAGTCAGCCCAACATTGATTCATCATCTCCAGAGGAGAAACATTGTTGTTAGGCCTAACATTGCGGCATTTAAGAAAGATAAAGTGATCTTTACTGATGGATCTGAAACTGTTGCAGATGCAGTGGTTTGTTGTACTGGTTACCACATAGATTTACCATTTTTAGAGAGTGATATAAAAGATTTAGTTATTGACGAAAGCACCAATCAAATCAAACTCTTCAAAAATGTTTTTGCTCCGGAAATTGGCCATTCTTTAGCGTTCATAGGATTTGTCCAGCCAGCATCTGGTGGTTTGCTATCAGTGTCTGAAACTCAGGCCAGATGGTTCTCGGAGCTGTGTAAAGGTACCATCAAACTTCCCCTAGCAGAGAACATGTGCCAGGAATTTGAGAAAGACAAACAAAGCAGGGAGGGTATTTACTATGCTTCACCAAGGCATACAATTCAACAAGACCCGATGACTTACAATGACGAGATTGCATTATATTTTGGTGCCAAGCCACAACTATGGAAGCACCCTTCCTTGGCATGGAATTTAGTTGTCGGCAGTGGAGGAGCTGCGCAGTATAGATTGCAAGGCCCTCATAGGTGGAATAGAGCTAAGGAAGTGGTGCGCTCTGTTCCGATAACACCCCTGTTACATTACGTTACACTGTTTTTGCTTCTAGTATTACTTTTTATCATAGTGTTCATTTTCTATAAATTGTCGTTTTAGTCACTTTTACTTTCCTTTTACAGTTTATTTTAACAATCATGATCTTTTTCATTTTAGTGGTTTTTTTTTTTTTCATGTTTCTGTTTGATTGCAGTTGTGTCTTTTTTGGGAAAAAATTGTTGGTGGACATGGAATTAACACTCACAAATGAGCAGAAATGCACACAACAACAAAAATTTTGTTGAATTCACCACTTTACAAATTATGTACATAGCAGGTGCCTCTTGACATCTCATTTGAATTTTTGCCAACGCTCTGGTGATTTTTTGCCAGACCGTTTTTGCCGTTGGGTGCGTTTCTGGATCTAAGTTAAATCCCTTCCATGGGTAAGGTAGTGAAGGTTACAAAATTATGCAAACTGAGACCATAATCACAAGATTAAAGTAATTAACTTATTTTGATTCAGCACTGAACTTGATCTAGCATAGTTCTTAGCCATTTAAGCCGCAATATCCACATACAAATTCTCTCGACTGATCTCCATATGTTTCCTTAAAGTATGAGTCGAGAGAGTTTGATCAAAGATAAAAAGCATTTTCCTATATTTGATCATTATATTAATCTTTTCTCATGACCTGTTCTTTTGACTATGTATTGATAGTGTCAGGTGAAATTTGATGTTAGACNGGTTACAAAATTATGCAAACTGAGACCATAATCACAAGATTAAAGTAATTAACTTATTTTGATTCAGCACTGAACTTGATCTAGCATAGTTCTTAGCCATTTAAGCCGCAATATCCACATACAAATTCTCTCGACTGATCTCCATATGTTTCCTTAAAGTATGAGTCGAGAGAGTTTGATCAAAGATAAAAAGCATTTTCCTATATTTGATCATTATATTAATCTTTTCTCATGACCTGTTCTTTTGACTATGTATTGATAGTGTCAGGTGAAATTTGATGTTAGACACTCTTGAGACAGGAATATAGCTGTTATGTTTTACTTTTTTTTCAATCTTAGAATTGCCAGCTATTTTGCTGCAGTGGCCTCTGAGTTGTAAAGCTTCTAGCCTGCAAGCAAGCTCTCCTATTTGAGCGAGCGAAGCGAACTGCACAAGAACGCGCTAGCGAGTGGCACCCCTCTCTCGCATGCCTCTCGCGCGTCTACCGTTTTCACGATATACCCCAAATGGAGAGCTTGCTCGCAGGCTATAAAGCTTCAAAAAGCGCATTGACGGTTACTAGTGTATCAGATTTATTTTAGTCAAATCATTCTGCAGAAATGTTATTTAGATAAAGTTTACATAATACTAATATCATAATATAATAAATTCATTTGTTCAGACGCTGTTTAAATGTTCTGTGCAACAGCTCGATCTGTTTTGATGCATTTTAAACGACATGAAAAATACCAATTTTTTTTATATAAATCACGGTGTTCTGTTAATTATTCGCCTCATGTTTGGAAATCTAAGACAGACTTGGATTCTGGATTCCACGCCATGGTTTCCGGATCGTTGGTTAGTGGGATTCCAGATTCCTCGAGCTGTATTCTGGATTCCAAAGCCCAGAATTTCCGATTCCGGATGCAAAAATTTCCCGGATTCCAGATTCCACAAGCAAAAATTTTGCACTGCAGATTTACTTCAGACACGTTATTTTATAGACATAAAGCTTTTTACAAACGATTTATAAATATGTTCTCTAAGGTAGGTTTTATGCTGTCCTCTGATCATTTCAAAAATATGAAAAATCTCTTTTTCACATCTTGTTGTACTGAGAGGAAAAAGACTACAAGTCATGAGCGTCGTGCTTTAAAGGGCTATACTAGGCAGGGGCCGGAGGGCTTTTAACAGACTATAAACTTCACCCCGGGAACGGAGAAATTTGCGAGGTTTCTGAATTCAACACCGGGTCTTTGCCAAAAGAACACAGCATATCGTGTCCTGGATCAAACAAATTAGATAGAGTTACTCTTGCTTTCTCTCTTCTCGTTAGCGACCACTTTGTAAATAACCGTTTTGTTTCTGTGTCAAATACTGAACTGTTTCAAAAACTCTCTCGTAAGCGACCACTTCTCAGATATTCGACCGCGACCCTTTTTATCAAGTTGATGGCCAGAAATTTGACATATTCTCCTGTAAGCGACCACTCGGCAATTATCACCCATAATAATTGTAAAAAACCACTGCTCAACTGTCACAAAAGTTCAGTTTTTTAAAGCACTGACCAAGCTTGCTTACAGATTGTAGTAGTTGACTTACGAAAAAGATGGCGATAATAAGATCTGTAGGTAAAAATGTGGATTGTTAAATTGATGCGAAATGTTTTGTTCAAAGTGTCAAAAGTTCTAACCGCTATTCGATGTGAAACGTTATTGCCAGTTGTCTATTTGCCTAATTTTAGCTGGTAGGTTAGAGCTTTTTGTAATTACGTTAATCAATTTTTATACGGGAGAGTTGACTTGTATGTGTGGCGGCCGTAGAGTTCATTTTCTCTTGATTTCGTTTATTTCCCTGCATCAATTTGTGTTTTTAGCTTCTTTCTAGGAGATTTCTTTCTGGAATTGAGGCCCTTGAATTTTCGTGTATTTATACACGCGTACAGCCTGCTACCGGAGAGGTATTTTTGGTCGTCGCTAACACGCGTACTAAATCAATGCAGAAACAAATAAAACGTATTAAGGACGATAAAGTAGGAAGTAAAAAACCTTGTTCGATTAAATCCTGTTTCGTGTAGAATTAATCGCCTCCTCATTTCTCGATCTAATCTCCAAGCAAGCGAGATGGATGGCCGCTCGAAGAGCGTTCTTGTTTCCTTTAAACGTGAGGTTCCGTGAGCAGGGTGGTGAGGCACTTGTTGCCTAGTCCTGTACGGCGTCTTTCCAGGCCTTCTTGGTCTATGCATTTCTGTGACGTATCTGAGAACGGCTTAGCCCGGGACAGGCTACGTAGTAGGGAAAAGGCAAAAAACAGGGTGAAACAGAAAAAAAAATAGCGAAAACCAAAATCGAAGCCTGGTCCAAGGCTAAGAACGGCCTAGAGAAAGAAAACCTCGCACGGATCCCGTGACACAAAACGCATAGGCCGCGCAGAGACCTAGCTATTAGGGACTAGGCAAAGGCACTTGCAGTTTTATGACAAATGTTCGACTTGGACTAAGAAAGCACTAGCAGTTCAGGTCAGTTCATGACTGCGGTATTGAGCTTGTAGAGCAAATGCGGTCGTCTCGTGGTGTTGCGAGCAGAAGCAGTCGAAGTGGCCTGTACATTGATCCATTCTTTTTTTCTCATTGGATCGTCGTGCGCGTGTATGAAAAAAAAGCCGCAGGGGATTTATTGACAGCCAGTGCAAGGGAACGGGGATAGGTAAATGTTTTTGTTGTTGTTTTGTTCCTTTGCGTTTTCTTGGCCTAGTCGCGGCGTGTTATGCATCGCTTATATTTAATATGCTACTGCTCACAGCCCATCCGGACTTACATAAGCAGTTCCTAAATTCAACGCCAGTATTATTCAAGAACATACAGTTTCACAATCACAGACATCTCGCTCATTCGGTTGGCCTACGCTCCAGTTCCGCCGGGACTATCTAAAGTGCATGCTAGTGTTTAAGAGCCTTCATGGCCTGGTTCAGGTAACTTCCCCTAAACAACGAGTTGACAGAAATATTCAAAAATATTGAACGCAAAGATCATATTAAGTACTTAGCCTAAGTACTAGGTGTGTTCATTGATAAGGCTCTTGAGCTAGAGTTGCCAAAAACATTGGCATAATACTGAAACAAACTCAGATATTATGTAGACCTAAAAACAATGAGGCAGTTACATTGTACGTTAATGTTTTCTTTCCTCAACTATGGCATTCTGAGTTGGGGAAATAATTACTAGACAAGATTGAATAAGCTCCGTAAAAAGCAAAATAAATGCATGTGCAATATATTTTTTGCTGATAGTAGAGAACATTCAACACCATATTATAATTTACTAGAAATTCTTAATTTTGATAACATTGTAAATTTAAGACTGCTGTATTTACACATAAAATTCTCAAAAAGAAAGAAATTCCAGCTATATTCTCTGACTTCATCATCCCAGCAGTAGATATACACTCTCATAAAACTCGATATACTACCCAAGAAAATGTGTTTTGAACAAACATTCGAACAGACTACGGCAAATTTATGTTTAGATATAAGGCAGTTCACGAGCAAGTGTGGGAAAGTGTCCCATCACACGTAAAGTCCCTTACTGAACCTGCCTTTTAGAAAACAATGTAAAACATTTCTTCTTTCCAATCAGTGATAGGTAGATGTCACTGTATGCCCGCGTGATTGCGCGCCAAGGTTAAGCTATGCTTCAGTTAGTATAATATTTACTACAAATATTAACCATAAAGGACTGCAAAGGACCGCAAACGAATATGCCGAGGAACGTAGGATCTATAAAGACCTGATTAGCAAAAATAATAATGTAGACATATTAAATTCTGCAAGCAGAATAGTCTATAATCATGTTTACTGTAGATTATGCTAGTAATGTGCCCGTAAAATTAACGAATATAAAGGTTGGCTTTTTCTCATTATGTTTCAAACATGACAGTGACAGTGACCAACTAGGGGGCACCCAACGGCAATTTTCGGGAAAACATCTGTTCGGAAGACGATTTGAGAACTAGAATTTTCGGAACATTTTTTGTAAAATTTCTCGCTTGCCTGCCTCTCCTAGGATTTTCGAACATCTACAAAATGGTATAATTACCCATTTTAAACGGATATTTGCCCTAAAAAAAGGTCACCTAGAATTTTCCGGAGCCTTTCCTGGCTGAAATTTTCGAAAAGGTAAGTTTTGATCCCTATAATTTTCGGATCACTAGACCTTCAGCTAGGAAATCCGAACAGATGAAAGGTTTTTAGGGGATAAAAATATGCCTATATCTACCGTTTAAATACTAAAATACGCTCAACAATGCTATGTTAAGTGGTTTTGAACTATATCCTCGTTGGGTGCCCCTGCCAACTCGAAAGCCTCGCCTCCTTTGGCCACTGTGCACTTCCTCTCTCGAGATTCTATTTATTGATATTTGTATAGTATATTTCTGAAAGAAAATTATATATTCTGTATGTGTAAGAGTAATTCATCTAAACAGTGCAAATAAAGTTGAAGTTGCCCGGCTCCAGCATATTTACTTAATAAATTTTGCCACTCGCGTGTTTTCCTTTCATATAATACGCGCCATTGAGATTTGCTCCGTCTGCCAGCTAGGACAACTAAGTACCAGGGCTCCTGCAGGTTCACCGGAGCCAAGATCTGTAACACGCTTCCTCTTGATCTGAGAAGCGAACATTATATCATTAAGTTAAAAAAGGCAGTTTAGATCCAAGCCAAACTGAGAGTCTCTTACTCCTGTTGTACTTAGTTGTAACATTTTTTGTCTTTATTTGTCTTATGTGTTGCGGGCCCCATTCAAACCAGCCTCGCTGAACTGGGCACCCCTGACTAAAAAATAAAATAAAATTCAACACAATGCCGGCCTTTCCCCCTGCCGCTCGCGGTCGTTTATAATAAAAGAAAGAGAAAAAGAGGCTATTTTTCCTTTCCATCACTCCCCGCTTGGGCTCTGCACTCGTTCATATAATCCCCTACTTGTGCTTCTCGCTGGCTACTCCGTGCTCCACGCTCACCCTTGGTAAAGCCTGCGGAGGAACCAGATGCAATGCATGACCCACGACCAACGACCCTTAAAGCACGAACCGCAGGTCTTACAACCCACCATAGACAGCTAAATAAAAGAGAGATTTTGAGTCACGTTTACGGCAAACGGCAAACGTCAGATTCAAAATAGAAACCGTGCAAATAAAAACAGCCCAAAACAACTGTTATAGACAAAACTAACGCTAAGCTACTAAGTTTTGGCGAGTAAAAGTAATGAGCAGTAAAGCAAACGTTAACCCTTTAAACCCTAATATCAAAATTCAAATTCTCATTTGTTATCCTTATACGTTTTCAATAGAAGTAGTGGGGAGAATTTGTTCAAGTATCAGTTAGATTCACCTTGTGTGATCACGTCCTGAATTCTCATGACCTCTGTGTTTTATAAAGCAGTGATATTACAAGGAGAAATTTGATGCTAATCACTCTTAGGGCTTAAAGGGTTAAGGGAAAACTTGGTCATGCACGTGGTACAAATTCAAAATTCAAAATTCTAAATCTCTCCTATTATTATCTCGCTTCCATAAATGGATAACAAATATAAGAGAAGTGATGGTTGACGTAATCCCCGGGTAAGCGAGGCGTACGATTGTTTTGAGGTTTAATCTTGCTGCTTGCAAGAACACTTCAAGCTGAGAGTCCTTTACAATATGTTGTTCATTCTTTTCTTTTATAAAGAAGATTAACTTTAAAGTCAATGCAAAAGGTAAGCGAGAACTTGATATAAAAACCACTACTTATTGGAATCCCATAGTAGAACTGGAACATCACCCGATCTCACCACCTTTAGTCTCTGAGGGTCAGATTCAGTTAACACAAATTATAACTAATAGGGATAAAGTAAAGCAGTTTTCAGTGGAAGAAAAAAGTTCATAAATCCGTAGTTCCTCCGTAGTTAAGCCCAACCCTTAACGCATGAATAGAATAGGAAGAGGCAATGATATTGTATTTAAAATCAATCTGTAAATCTACAGTCCTACAACCGAAGCCAAAGGCTTATTTCGCAATGATGGATAAGAGGGTGGACTAATTTACGCATTACTAAGCAATTTACAAAATCTTAATTACGCTTGACTCTTCTAATTGCAAAACTGCAGTACGTTTTTGGTATTGTACTAAAATTCCAAAAAACTTTCACTATCGCTTTTTCAACATTTGATTGGTCGAATATCAGTTTTGTTTTTCAAGTGTTTCTATCCACACTATTTCAAATTGACCGTAATTGCGTGCTTTATATAATGACTTGCGGCTTCATTTGAAGGAGGAACTCGACCGTGGGCTGGTTTGAGTCACTAGAATATATTCTAAGCAGAGCGCTGTTAAGTTTGTATCTGTCCGGACATGTTCTAGGGCAACTTGAGTCTTTTCGAAATTACAAGGCTTTAACGCTTTACGAAGGTTAGTATTCTTCTGATACCTCTCTCCATTTTCTTCAAAATATAGCTTAACTTTTTGGGATAAATTTCGAAAATCGTACGTGAATGGAACGGTCGCCTAGATTTTATAGCCTACCTCAAGCTACAGAAAAATTCTAGGTAGTATTTGCTTCTTAGAGCAGATACTTTACAGAAAACAGTTGTTGGATGCTCCTCTTTTAGGGTACTGAATGAATGAATGAATGAATGATGAGTTCACACAACGTCATATACCACTGGTATAACTTGACTTAGCCTTTGACATAGCCTTCTCCAGGCTCTCACCATGACCCATGTCCATCTAACGAACTTTACTGACTATTTTGTAAACATTTCGAGACATTCACTAATTTCATCATGCTTCGAAAGGAGAGACAAACTTGTCTCCGAATAACCGGTTACTCCGACCGAATGAAAGTTAAAAATATTTAAGTAATGTTGTTGTTGTTGTTGTTATTATTGTTATTATTATTCTCATTATTAATTTTATTTTATTGTATTCTTGTCCCCTTGTAGAAGCGTTATTTCATTTTACTTAAAAGAATCAAGAATTGGATAAAAGTGACCACTTTAAAAAAACCGTAATATCTTGTTATAATCATGTAAATAAAGCTGGTTGTCGTTGATGATAACGGTAATAGTTCGCCAACTGAATTGCGCTATATTCAATAACTAGCTCTAGTTTCATCAAACGCAAGGTAAATGTTGTGGTTCAATTTGTTCAATTTTTTCTTTGGTTTAAATTTTATTTCCCTTTGTTACAAACTCATTATTATGCATTACCATACCCCAAAACAAAGGGAAATAAGATTTAAACCAAGGATAAAATTAAACCATAACATTAAGATTCTTACGACGGGCCTCCGCTGTAGCGGCATTTTTCAAAGTTCTTTTTTGACAAATGGCGCTAACATTCATCAAGTGGGTGTCCTGTGGCATGCTTGTGATGCTTAGCTTTCTATTTCATGTTTACCAGATGAATCATTCTCCAGAATATGATGTTGCAGTTATTGGTGCAGGGATTTCTGGGATTGTTACTGCAAAGTGCCTTTTAGATGACAAGTTCAATATTATTGTTTATGAGATGAGTGACCACGTTGGGGGACTGTGGCAGTTTACGGAGGATGGCTATGGAGTGATGAGATTTACCACGATGTAAGAAGTAACCATAAGTTAAAGATTTACCTTTAATTTTTGAAAAGTCATAGTTATAACTTATTACTCAATCTGCTAATTTTGAACGATCATATATCACTTGAAATGATTAGGAATTGATGGTTCATTCCTTTTAACAGGGTTGCCTCCAAACAGAACGACTGCTTCTCCGACTTTCCATTCCCCGATCATGTTCCTGATTACCCAAGCCACACACACATGGCAGAATACATTAAAAGTTACACCAAGCAGTTTGGTTTGGAGAAGCACATCTGTTTTAACACCAAGGTGGTCAAGATTGAAAAAGCAGCAGAGGGATGGAAAATGATGACAGTCGAAGTCGACAACAAAGGCAAGCACAAGTCTGAATACAAGGAAACATTTGTGAAGTTTGTCGCCATAGCATCTGGTCATCACGCCAAGCCAAGCATGCCACAGTTTGAAGGCCAGGAAACATTTCATGGAAGAATTTTTCACAGCAGAACTTATAAAGATGCCATAACTAATGACCTAGTAGGGAAAAAAGTAGTTGTAGTAGGAATCGGTAATAGCGCTGTAGATGTAGCGGTGAATGTAACAGAGTTGGGAGGGGAAAAGCCCGTTAACATTTCCTCGAGATCGGGTGCATGGATTGTTCCTAATTACATATTCGGGTTCCCTGCTGATCATTATGCGACCCGCCTATTCTTCTGGCTTCCTCGGAGCATTTCCAGTTTTCTCTTTGAGTTTATGATTCAATGTGTGACCGGCAGCCCATGGCAGTGGAAACTAAACCCCAAAATGCATGCTCGCCAAACACAACCCACTGTCAACTCGACATTGATTTATCAGATACAAAGACAAAATATTGTAGTAAGACCTAACATTGCAGCACTTAAGAAAAATAAAGTGATCTTCGCTGATGGATCTCAAACCACTGCAGATGCAGTGGTTTGTTGCACTGGGTATCAGATCGATTTGCCTTTTTTTGACAGCGACATCAAAGATCTAGTTGTCGATGAAAGCACCAACCAAATCAAACTTTTCAAAAATGTTTTTGCACCTGACATCGGCCCTTCCTTGGCATTTATAGGTTTGGTACAGCCCTCATCTGGTGGTTTGCTATCAATTTCTGAAATCCAGGCAAGATGGTTCTCGGAGCTGTGTAAAGGCTCTGTCAAACTCCCCTCAGCGGAGAAGATGCGCCAAAAATTTGCGAGGGACAAACAGAGCAGTGAGGGTATTTACTATGCTTCACCAAGGCATACAATTCAACAAGACCCGATGACTTACAATGACGAGATTGCATCATATTTTGGTGCTAAGCCACAACTATGGAAGCACCCTTCCTTAGCATGGAATTTAGTCGTTGGCAGCTGTGGGGCGGCCCAGTATAGATTGCAGGGCCCTCATAAGTGGAGGAGGGCTAGAGAAGTTGTACGCTCTGTCCCGGTAACGCCCTTGATGCACTACACCGCATTGTTTTTGCTTCTGGGGTTACTTTTCATCACAGTGTTCGTTTTCTATAAAACATTGTTTTAACTGGCAGCCTTAGTGCCATCTACACTGCAAAAAAATCGGGTCCGGACCCCGTAAACTGATGTAAACCGGACCTATTTTCTTCGTTTTAATCTCTTTCCCGGAATCAAGTCCTCGATCATACTTGTAAATGGCTAACTCGTTGCTTCCTGCCAGTTGCGGTTTTTAATTCTGTCNACACTGCAAAAAAATCGGGTCCGGACCCCGTAAACTGATGTAAACCGGACCTATTTTCTTCGTTTTAATCTCTTTCCCGGAATCAAGTCCTCGATCATACTTGTAAATGGCTAACTCGTTGCTTCCTGCCAGTTGCGGTTTTTAATTCTGTCGTTCTATATTTGAATTGTTTGTTTAACCAATTCGCCCCTGGTTTACATGTTCTTTTTTGCCTATTTCTCCGGTTTCCTTGACTGAATTGTTCTCATTCTGGTATGGTTTTGAAAGATCTCTTCACTCTGTGGCAGTTAGCGGACAAAGTTGTCCTTGACAATTAACACTGATGACGCTACAAGCGGTAGAAGGTTCGTGGATCTGCACGGGAGACTCAAGGGCGAATGGGTTAAAATTATTTGCGAGGACTGTCTGTGAACTAGCTAAGTGAAATTCCGCTAAAAACAGAGCATTTACCTACTAACCACGTAGAACACAAACAAACAACCACAACGAACAAAAAAAAAGAAGACAAGGTTGTTTGTACAACTTGTACATATAGTTTATTGGTTCATCTGAAGTTTTCTCACTATAAAATTATATTTAATGTATTTAGTTATTTGAGACTGTATGCAAGTTAATGATAGCAAATAATTTGTATTGTATTTCATTTTCCTTCAAAATAAATACGTTTTTTCACCTACGTTGCATGGTTCTGTACAATCATGAATAGATTTTTCAAATGGAAAAAAATGAACGAAATTCAACGTATTTTTCTTTTGACGGTCCCATCTGTGAAAACTGATCTTTGGCGAATACACTCATTACATTGACTAACCTCTCCACAAACCGGTTGGTTCACGGTTCACTTTTGGAACAACTAGGTCCAGAAAAATATCTATCCAGCGGATAAGTAGAAATGAACCAATAGCGCTATGGACTGTACACAGTTTTATCCAGTGATACCGCTATCCACGTTTTGAACAAGTGAGGCATGACTTTCACTTTTAAGGAGTACAGAATCTAGCCCAACTTATACTCAACTTGAAAAATTTCGCAAAATTTCCAAATTTCACAACTTGTAACGGGTTTAAATAATTCATTTGCAGAAAAGCACTATTTCACTAAAACTTCCAAAACTCGTCAGTTTTCTCTGTTGTGCAAATTGCGGCGTTTGTTACGTAAGCCTAAATGAGATAACCAATGAAACTGTGAATCAAGGAAACTTGCCTCTTTAACTGCATGCCAACCTGGGCAGCAATAAACAGCCAATTTCTAACAATGCTCCACTTGATCTACCTTAATCATTGCCTTTGGTTGGAATTTAGCGAGTTCTACAACACAAGAACAGTGACTGTTATCATTATTTTATGTCAAAAGAATTTTACACTTTACAATTAACTCCCCCAAAAACAGACTGCCGTACACCACTTACCCTTTCAGCTCCAATTATATCCAAATTCTCCGGTCTAATCTAGCAGGAGCCTATTACGGGTAATCGGCTCCTGAATCTACATAATTATAAATTCTCTGAAAAAACAGCCGAGAGAATTTGCTAGAAGATCAAGAACTTTCCCTTTTCTTTATCAATTTATAAATTCTTCTAACCTTTCCACTTTGTTATGTATTGACATTGTGATGAGAAAATAGATGTTGATCACGCTTAGGATAAAGGTCAGAGATGTCTTTTCTTTATGTTTTTTTCTAGGCCAGTTCTTCATTAAATTTGATTTAAAATCATTTCTGAGAAACCCTATGGAAGCCTTTGGCTATGTTTACACCTTAATGGATAGCTTTTTTGCTGGCTTGAAAACCATACCGCATAGGGCTTCGATTCAAACAGAAGAACAGTGATTTTGGCATGATTTCTATTTTGGAGTGAAGCTGCGCGCGCCAGTCTCTCAAGTGGAGAGTCACATATTGGATAGGTGTGCACACTATACTACCGGATAGCTTTTGGTGTGGGTCCCACACCAAAAGCTATCCGGAATAAAACCCTTTCTGGTATAGTGTCAACATACTTATTGCATCAAACTCTATAACTTCATTAATTTCTTTGCTGGACACCTTCTGTTGAGGCCATACCCATAAATTACCCTCCCGTGCAACTTCGTTTAACAATCGCTCTGTGATTTCAGATAGAGCAATACAATCAATTCCAACAATAGATAAAAAATATCTTAGACTGTTGAACTAACGGCCTCTCTAATCTCCTTGCCTTGTTCATCTTCTTCATCATCGCTGATTTCAGGGTCAAAGGAAAGGCGAGGAACCTTGGGTGATCTCGTTGGAGAACCATACGGATCATAGTCATCAAGATCTGCATGTCGTCCTGGAGATAGCGCTCTCTTAATGCGTGCCCCTGCATCAAATATTCTATCTTTTCCTTTCCCAATGAGCTGGTTCTGTAATTTAAAATAATAGATAATTCACTTTCGTAAAAGATGTAATGGTATTTTCAAGCCAAGAGTGTGTCACACAGAGAAACAATTTTAGTCTTAGACAAGATTTTCACCTGTGACCTCATTACACACCAGGGGGGTTACCCATTGAGATATTGATACACTCATGCACAGCAAGACCATTCACTCATTTAGGTACATTTTTTAGGCTGCACATAAGACTGGTTTGAGATTGTGTCCAATGGGGCTATGGGACTGTTTCGGGAGATAAATTTTGGGAGCCAGTTTCCTTCACAACTTTATACTGTGGAACCTTGCTAGAACGAACCTCTATAATAATTGTAGAGGTTTGTTTTAGCAAGGTTAATTATTATAATTATTATAATATATAATAATTATAACATTATTATAACAAAGTCTTCGGTATAACGAACAATTTTCTTTACCGCAGTAATAGTACAATATATGGAAAAGGGCCTAATTTATATAACAAAAACTTGGTAGAGCAAAAATATTTTACCACTCCCTTGGTCCTTTGCTATATCAAGTTTCCACTATAATAACATTCCAAGAGTCCCATAATCGGATTCAAAACCATACTGACTCAGGCAAAAGCGATGCACATGCTCCTTGACTTTCATAATGCTAAGATCGGTAATGTCCAGTGCATCTTGTTTGATGATAACCAAAGAAAGTTGGTTGTTTAATGATACAACAAAATTATTGCAGAATTTCATTCTCCTCATTCCACGTTACAACGCTCCACAAACCTTTTGCCAAAACCTAACGGACATCTTGTATTGACTAACTTTCTTATCAATGTGTTGAAAAATATTACTGTTTCTTTACTAGCATAATCTTGTTAATATTATGTTAGTGTTAATTGCTTAAGAAAAGAAATTTATTCCTGTTTGTCGCAAAGTTTATCAATCTAGTTGTATGTTACTGACAGGTTATATTATATAATCACAATTTAGGCTCTTTTGACTTATGACTTGCTTATATTTATTCCTTATTTGAGGTTACAAAGAACAAAAAAAAATTGGGTTATTAAAACAGAGACTAAAAGAAATAATAATTTTATAATAAATAATGATAATATTAATATTATAAAAGTAAAAAGTACCTTTCAATCTGAGAGGTTAAGACTTGGTTGTTGAAAGCACATCTCTGCGCAGTAAAGCATCAATGACTCACACGAAGAGTAGTCGACTGAAGTTATGTTTGCATTTTGATCTCGATAAGAATTATTCTGAAGGTTTATTTAAACTATATTTTTTAATTGCAAATTAAAGGATAGATTATTGTATATGTCAGTGATCATATGTTGAAGTGATTTGTTATATGAACATATTTTAGCATGTGTTAGGTATTAAAAGAAAATGAAATTTAAAGTTCATATGAGGGAAAAACTATCCATTTAAGAAAGTTCTTTATTTTGTAATATGACATTTAAAGTTTCAAGGTTAAACAAAGCGACATCCATTTTTAGACTTTCTCCAAATATTGATAAAAATGTTCTTTTCTTTGTTACTTTAAGTAACTTTGAAAATTGAATAAGTTTCAGGTATTTAATACTTAACTGCATTTAGTGCAATATAATATATGTTGGCGGTTTAGGTTAAGTCTTAACTTTTTATTGCAAAATTTAATTCACTCCGAGCAACAAAGTAATTTTAATCAGTCCGGAATATCCCTAAATTTAAGGACAGGGCCAACTGGTCATGCGACACTTTTCAACCAATGAGAAGGCGCGCTTGTGTTTATCAACAAACAAATCAAAACATCGCCCCAGTGATCAAAAATTTTCAAAACAACGGACGGAGTCGGACAGAATCAGTCATCGTTTCGGGGCTCTCAGGCATATTTTTAAGACTTTTCATGAGGCATACACAATTTTTTTACGTGGACAGCGTATCGGAAGCCATATTGGAAGTGTCTCGTGAAATATTCAGCACATTTTGTGGCTTATTTCTTCTTTTATCTTTTAAACAACGCGATGTATAGGCGAGATTTTAGTCGGTTTTCAAGGTAGGTGAACAAGTATCTATTATTTTTTCGATTCACAGATTTTTTACGAAGTTCTAGATATTTTTCCTCGATTGTCATATCGATTAACTTTTGTCATGTTGAATGTGGAAATGGTAGACAACCTAAAATTTTGGTAGACAATTTTTGAATTCCGAGGTCCAAAAAACGTACGTTTTCCACTCCCGGGTTTCTCACAGAGCCGTGTTATTACTTTTTTTCGCATTAGTACGAGCCTTTGCCTTTTTTCTTTTCAAGGCCAAAACAACTTTATAAGTCTTATGGATCTGATGGATATTCACGTCTAACATCTCGCCTCACTTTGCCGAATTTGCGGAGATGAAATTGAAGATCATAAGCGCAAGGTAGATACTAACCGCTTTGTTTCTGAAATTCACTAATCTGGAAAGATTTAATGTTGTT